TATAAGAGAGTATTAAAATACAATTTGTTTTTTTTTTTTTCATTGAAAATTTGTTGATATTATTCATACACATAATATCATACACGTAATATCTTATATATCTTTAAATAAATATATATTGATATATTCAATTTTTACAATGAAGGATTTGTAAAAAATGTATTTTGTATTTTTTATCATTAACATTATCGATTATATTAGAATTTTTCTAAATACGATTTATTTCTTTCATATTAAATCTATTTACGTTATATTAAAATGTGTACATTAATTTACATAAATAAATTAATTTACAAAATATTCAAAACAAATGAAAATTGTACATTGTAGATACATACGACATAATTACGTGCACAAAATGATATTAACTTATTGTCCTTGGTAGTCCAATTGGGAATAATTATAAAATTGCACGTGATCGAGCACTCGGGTCATTCTATAAATATTCATAAACAATTATAAATCAACGGTGATTTAAATTAGCGACGATTAAATGAAAATTAGCATATAGCCGAGAGACCGACGATAATTACACAAAGACTTTGTATTTAAATATTTTCATCTGGTTATAGTCCTGACTTTTTATTTCTATTTTTTTTTTCTTTTTCTTTTTTTATTAATGAAAAACATTGAAGATTAATTTTTTTTTTCTTTTTCTTTTTTTTTTTTTTTTGAAGAAACAACAAACATATTCAACAAAAACTATTTGCACGAAGTATTAGCATAATAAATTTCGTCCGAAGTGCTTTTTTTTATTTTTATTTTTTTTTTTTTTTTGGTATGCAAATACATTTTTCTATTTAAAATAATTTAGAATAATTTAAACCTCGCTAAAGGAGAAAATATTAATAATAATTAACATGATAAAATTCATTCGAGGTACATTTGCACTTTAATATACGCATATAATCCATTATTTAAAATATAAAAATTTGGAGCAGATATTTAATTATAATTAATGAATAACATTAATAATACATCCAGAAGCATACGGACAGATACACGTTAAAAAATTTATCCTAAATGTACTCTAATGTACCCGTATAATCTTTTTTAACAAAAAAAAAATAAAAAAAATAAAAAAAAAAGAATATTTGATATATCTAACTATAATTAATTGATAAAATTAATAATTACTGAACAAAACAAAATTTTTGATATAGTTAAGTTTTTTGATATATATATATATAATATATTTATATACAAAAAAGTATAATATTTAATATAAAATAATTTAGAAATATTTCTCTAGAGTTAATTAATAGAGTTAATATGAATTCATTCAGATTTATTACACTATATAATATGTAATAATGGTCATCACATAGTAATATTGGTATCAACCACTATTACTACACCAGCATTGCTATCACTGCGCGTATGCATTTCAATCTCGGTAGGAGCCATATGTTCAATAATGTCCGAGCCACGAATTCAATATCGTCGTTGCATTGGTTGGCAAGAAGCTCGGCATCAGCTCGGATTCAAATCCGGTGCCACGATGCGTGACTCTCTCGTCACGTATGCATAAATGATATCGATATCTTTGCATTGGATTCGACGAATACGCATGAGATGGAAAATTTACATTTAAAAAAAGAAAAGAAAAAAAACACATAAAAGAAAGCAAAAAATTAAAGCACAAAAAAGATGATGATTTATAGCCTTCTAGTATTTATGAAAAAGTACATTTTCTTTGTTTTTTCTTCTTTTCTTTTTTCTTTTTTTTTTTTTTTTTTTTTTTCGTTAAAGATGAAACGTTCTTTCGTCAAAAGTCGATAAAAAAAAGATTTTTAATTGTTTCTTTCTTTTTTTTTTTTTTGTTATATGTATCATTGTAATTTCTTAGTATTTAAATTTATTTAATTATTTGTAAAGAAGAAATTCAAATTGCTTTTTTTTTTCTTTTTTGAGAAGCTGATAGATGTGACATTTTTCTTTGTTTTTATAATATCTATATATATATTCTTTTTTGTTTTTAACATTTATTATTATAATAATTGTTAACTATTTAAATTGATTTGCTTAAATAGTCAATAAAAATAATGAAACATTTCATTATTCATCTATTATATCATAATCGTGAATTATTGAAATTGCGTAAATAATCAAATAAAAAAAAAAAAAAAGAAGAAAAAAGTCCGTGAATATTTTTCATTAATTTCACAATATATTTATCGTATCTCGCACGTACGTATATTATAATAATTTTCAAATATTGAAATAATTTTCTCCCTAATTCTAAGTAATTTATTCAATTTTGAAATTATATGATAATCATTTATTTATTTTAATGCATACATATAATAAACTAATAATATTAATAGAAAACGATAGCATATTCGATGAGATTAAGAAGAAGAATAAGTGTTTTCAAGAAATTCGATTCCATTGCTGAGATTTTATGAATTAAAAAAAAAAAGAAAAAACGAAAAGAAAAGAAGAAGAAGAAGAGAAAAAAGAATAAAAATAAGAAGAAGAAGAAAAAAAAAGAACGAAGCTGTTCGGTTTAACGAAGAAGTTTGAAGACGATTCTGTATTCGTAGAAACTTGAAAGTTGCCTTCGTCTTCAATGTCTAAGAAAGAAAAAGTTACTTTCTTAAGTTCGTAAAAGAACTCTATGTACGAGTAAAAATAAGTCGTTCGAGTTCGTTTGTGTGTTTATTTACAAGAAAATATTCTCTCTCTCTCTCTCTCTCTCTCTCTCTCTCTCTCTCTCTCTCTCTCTCTCTCTCTCTCTCTCTCTCTCTCTCTTTATTTTATCTTCTCACATATCTTTCTTAGCATTGAAAATAAGATAAAATACAAAACTGCAGTCAAACTGAATATTGTTTAAATGTATGTGTTTGTGTTTGTGTGTGTATGTATGTGTATAGATACAAAGTATAATGGAAGTAACAACAAAAATGTTACAATCTGTTTTGTAAACAAATGTAAATTTAAAGTTAATTTCTACTTTCTTTTTTTTTTTTTTTTTTTTTTTTTTTTTGTTCTTTTATGATAAATCAAATTTATTTAATCTAAGTATCTTAAAAGAATTAGAATTTATTTATTAATGAAGAAATATTTATTGATTTATAGAAACGAACATTTTTCAATAAATAATTTCTAATTTATTATATTTAACTTGATTATATATACATACAATATTGTGTCAATATGAAATTTTAGAAACTATTTTTATTTTATTAAAAATATTTGATAAAATAAAATCCTCTTTTTTTGTTAAATAATATTGTAAAAGGAACAAAAAAAAAAGAATTAGATCTTAAAACCATTTGTAATATATGTGGACTATTCTCTATATATATATACACATATGTATATATGTGTGTGTTATATATAAAAAATTATAGGAAATAGAAGATCAAGCCAAGAATCAAGTTTTCTCTCTCTCTCTCTCTCTCTCTTTCTCTGTCTCTCTTTCTCTGTCTTTTATAAAAGAGATGGTGTTGGTAAGAGAACGTGTAGTAGTTTTATTAGACTGGCGAATATCCAAAAGCTGTCGGCGACACCGTGGAAGTATCTTTCTAATTTTCCATTTTATGCTTTACAATTCGACTCCGTGCCGTCTGTCATTTAGTTTCTTTTAAAAGAAATTATGTTTTTGTTTCCTCATTGAACTTTACATATAAATATCTTTAATATCCGAGATTTTCAAAAATTATTAATGCGAATATTAAATAAACGAAGAAGAAAAATATCAAGTAAAATTAGAATTTAAAAATGTTTTCATTATGAATGTTGTTCCAATAATGGAACAAATAATAAATTTTATCATGTAATTAATTAATCTTCTGATATTTAATTTAATTTGATCAATCATACAAGAAATACTTTTTCACTTTTGGAATTAATTAATTTCACAATTGAAATTAGTGATAATCTTGAAACATTAATGTTATATCCAATCAAATTGATCACAAAGATAATTATAATGGGAAAAAGAATGAATTATACAAGAGATTTATATATAAATAAAAATTTATTGCAGTTTAGTTGTATTTAATATATATACCAACATATATTTTAATATATAAATATATATATATATATATAACAATTATAATAAATTTTGTTTACTTTATTATAATAAAATTGTTTATAATATTTTCACGAAAAAAAAAGAAAAGAGAGAGTCTGAGAAGAGGTGAGAAAATGTTAGGTAAAAAAAGAAATAGAAAAAGAAAAATAAGATGGTGGAAAATTTAGTTGCCTCATTCGGATTTAATTTTTTTTTCCTCCTTATAATATCTCTTTTACGTCTAAACATTTTTTATCGTTTAATTAAATGTCGACGAGGATGTTTGCTACTACGATGGTCGAGTCTGCAATGCGAAATCCTCGCCATTTTAAGTACCTACGTAAGCGAGTTTATTTATGGTGTGAAAGCTCTGCTATATGAACTTTCGTATCTCATACTCACATACGCACACATATGCACACGCACACGCACAGACACATATATGAACAGACAGATATACATATAGATTTTTTGTATTTATATAACAAAGTACAAAATTTGCCATGCGTGCTATTAAAATTTAGCTTTTTTTTTTTAATTAGTTAAATATATTTATCTTCACGATTAACAAAAGAGATGGCGAAGTATATCGTTCTAATTCTCGTATGATAGAAAATTTTATAAATTTATTTTCCCTTTATTCTGATTTTTTCTTTCTTTCTTTCTTTCTTTCTTTCTTTCTTCGATTTTTTTTTTTTTTGATATAAATATTTTGTTTAATTAAACTTAACAAGTATCTTTCCTTCTTTTTTTTTCTCTCTCTTTCTCTTATTTCCTTTTATTTCCTTCTTGAGAAAAGAAAATATATCGAATTTACTTTTCATTTGAAGTAACTTTGATATTTTTTTATGCCCATTTTTTTCTTTTTTACTAATTAATTCAATCGATTTTTCTCAAAAATGTGTAGTTTACTTGTTTTTTTTTTATATATTTTATCTTATTATTACTATTTTTTTCCTTTTTTTTATTTTTACAGGAGGATATACCAAAATGGCGTAAGACCATGTTAATGTACGAGAAAAGAAGAAAAAGATCGCTCCATGAAGAGAGTCAAGCATATATGATGATAAAGGTAAAAAATAAATAAATTTATTACTAACTTTAATCGACAAAGAAAAAAAAAATTTTGATTCATTCATAAACTCTCTTCGTAGTAAATAAAAAGTCCATAGAAATATGTAGACATTTTTTTTAAATTGATTGACTTGTTCTAAATAAATAATACACTGAATTTATATTTACATACAAAGAAATTGAAGTATTTATTATATAAATTATGTCTGTTAAAAATCAATCAATAAAAAAAAGAAAAGGGATATGATAAACTCTTTAGAAATATTCATTTAAAAAATATATAAAATATAAAATATAGATAGTATATGTACATCGTATACTTGTGAAAGTGCTTTAGAAATAATTTATAAAAAGCATTTTCTTCTATTTAATTCACATTCTTTTGAATTTTTTTCACTTCATTATATTTATTTATATACGCAAAGTTAAACTTAAATTGTTTGCTTCTCTTCTTTTTTTTTTTAAAGAATGTTTCCAATGGTAGGAATTTCAGAAATTATATTAAAATTAAATTAAAACTATTTTTTTTATTCTAGAGAAAGTTCTTGAGTAATTGAAATTTAACTTAATTATTAATGCATATTTAAATACATACAAAATTTATAATACAGAATATATATATATACAATTAGAAATAATATATATATATATAAAATACATAATTAAAATGTACAATGGGACGTTTAAATATTCGTACCATATGAATGTATTTCCATATTTCTGTTTGTACAAATACATTAGCTCTCAACTGTATACACAATATAAATAATTATAATGTAAATAATTAAAGTAAATTTTTTATAAAAATAATAGTTTTATAAAATAAATAATTTAATAAACTTCAAAGTCAAGTAAATAAAATCAATTTTATTAAATGAAATAAATTATTGTTTAAAAATATATAATAATAAACATTAGAAAAAGATTTAAATTTATCTAATTATATTAATACGTATGCATGTATATTTATTTTTTTTAATTGGGATTTAGATATATTTCTGTTTTCCCGCTCTAATTACATTAATAATTATATTAATAATAATAACAATAATAACAATAACAACAACAACAAAAACAATAGCAATAATAATAATAATAATAATAATAATAATAATAATAATAATAATAATAATAATAATAATAATAATAACATTAAAGATTTATCACTAATTTCAAAAATTTTTATGAAATTAAATTAAAAACAATGTCAAGAATAATTCAATTTTTTTAGTCTCTTTCCTTTTCTCTCTCTCTCTCTCTCTCCTTCTTTTCTGTTTCTCTAAAAAATTGTTGCTAATCTAAACATTTAAAATTTCATTTTTGTTTTCTCTCTTTCTCTTTCTTTCTTTCCCTGTCTGTGTGTTGACAATGTAGAAAGTGTTTTCGAATCGACATTTTCGACATTTGAACGAAGAATGTGTGACGTCCCAAGCAATTAGAGTTTTCGTTTCGGAATGGTAACTGTAAACGCACTATTTTCTCAGAGTTAGGTAAATTTTTTCATTTTCCCCCATTCGAAATTTGCATACGACTCGAAATCGTCATAGAAAGAGGACGAAAACGTCGCGAGCTCTTGACCCACATGACGCTTCCGTCGTATCTTTATCGTTGGTCCGATAAAATTGAAATCGAGATATTAAATGTAATCTTTTGCTACATCGATTTGAGAAAAAGAAACATAAAGATAAAGAAGAAGAAAAAGGAGAAGAAGAAGAAGAGTGATTATAAAAAAAAGATTCTACAGTTTTTACGACTTCGATTCTAATCTTATTTTCATCGTATAAAAAACGAACCTTCCTTGATAAGTGAATCGTTCATTTTGCGATTAGAACAACTCCGATCAGGATAAAATCGATTAGAAACAAATTTAAACATTTTTTTCTTTTTCTCTCTTCTCTTTTTCTTTTTTTTTTTTTTTTTCTTAATTTATAAAATAAATTTATATAATATGTGTGTTTTTGTATCTTAAACGTAAACGCGCGATGTTTGAGATAAAATATTTTCGAGCAGAATTATAAAGCTTGTCTCGATTTATCGCGTAACTTTAAGCTCGAGAGCTTTTGCTGTCCTTTCATTAAAAAAGATCAAAACTGAAGTTGTAAAAGTTTTGAAAAGATTTCAGGATAAGTTAACGATTCTTTTCATTATCGTATTTATGTATTCATGTATGTGCATGCATATATACTTTTCGATAAAATAAATTTGACATTTTAGTTAATATTTCGTACAGAAGAATAAAATTAGATACACCTGTTATATATCATATTAGGGAGAGAGAGAGAGAGAGAGAGAGAGAGAGAGAGAGAGAGAGAGAGAGAGAGAGAGAAAGAAATCGAAGAAAGAGAAAAGTAACGAATCGACCCGGCTATACGCGTTTTACATGACCCTTGACATATTTTTCGTGAGTGAAACACACGCATACAGCTTTTAAAAAGGAACGCGAGAACTCTCATTGACGACAACGCTTATGTTCGTGTTTCGAAGTGGAACGTATACTAAAATGTATAACGCGTCAGTCAAATATTTGGGCATATTTTCAAAAATTTAATTCAACTTTTTCTTCTTTCAAATATAGATAAAAAAAAAAAAGAACGATGAGTTAAGTAACTCGGAATTATTTAGGAGATATAAAAAAATTAATATTATGTAGATATGCAGTGTTTTTTTATCTTGCGCTTACTCTACATTTACATCGCGCTTATCCTACGCTTATTTTGCGCTTATTTTGCGCTTATTTTGCACTTACTCCGCTCTTACTTTGCTTATTTGTTTTAAGTTTTTACGACGTTTAGTTTCGGAAATATTTTCATTAAATTAAAGACGTGAGAATTAATATTGTAGAAAAAAATTGTTTCTTGGATAAACAAGTAATTTGTTTATTAATTATTTATTAATTCATGTAATTTTATATATCAATCGTAACCCGATGTGAATACTTTTGGCAAAATAAGATGAATTTAATTCGTAAGAATTTGTTTATAACAAATTGTTAATTAATTATTAACAATATATTGAAAAAATAGAGAAAATTCTGCCCTTTAAAATGATATTTGGTTCAAGTCTCTATCACTTTTAGTCAGGGAGATATTGCCATGTAAATGCAGAACGTGGTTTACTAATAATGTAAAACAAAAATTGTTTGTTCGATAAAAAACTAATTTGTTTATTAATTATTTATTAATTTATGTCATTTTAAAAATCGGAAACGCAATCTAAATCTTCTTTTATTTTTGACAAAATAAGATGAATATATTTCGTAAAAATTTATTTATAAAAATTGTTTATAACAAATTGTTAATTAATTATTAACAATATGTTGAAAAAATAGAGAAAATTCTGCCCTTTAAAATGGTATTTGATTCAAGTCTTTATGATTTTTAGTTTCGGAAATATTCTCATTTAAAAAAGACATTTACGTTGACCCACTAACTTCGTAATTTCATTCGAATTAACTTGGTGACATACTGACCTACATAAATTCTGAGAATTTACGCGGCCTACTACTACTACTACTACTATTACTACGAACAGCTGTACTATGCGAATTATGAATGGAAATCTTTCGAAAGCGATATCTTGGGAACAAAAAGTCGTAGAGACTTGAAACAAACGCCATTTTCAAAAATTTTTTATTCTTTATTTATTTAAATATTGCAATAATGTCGTTATAATACAATCGATTTTGTTAATAATTTTAAAAATTGAATTTTTTCTTTTCCCTTAGTAATAAGGAGATAACTAAAATGAAATCATTAATAAATTTTCATTATAATTATATTTGGAGATTATTAAATATTACGATTAAATATTTATGTAAATTTTATTTTGTTTATTTAAAAAAATCTATTACTAGTCATCAATGTACGAAATTGAAAGATCGAAAACTCGGATTACTTTTCTTTCGTAATAAGGACATAATTATGATGTTTAAATTTTTATTTCAATAGTAAAAATTTTATTTTATTTATTAAAAATAAGGGATAAAAGATCTATACCATATTTGATGATGTACGATCGAAAACTAGAATGATTTTCCTTTCATGATAAATACTCCGTGTTTAGCATACGTATATTTTGTGCTTATTTTGAGCTTAATTTGCGCTTATTTTACTCTTATCACGCGTCTTACGATAATATCATATTATGATCATTTCTCCACTCCGTATCGTACGATCTTTGTATACAAAGTTTTTCTTCATCTTTAAAAAGAACAGAGATATTCAAGATAATCAACGTTATTGCTCATCCTATATTCATAGACATATATATATATATATATATATATATATATATATATATATATATCTTTTGGTTTCCAAATGGCGATATCTGAGGCATTCATCGTAGTCGTCGTCGACGTCGTTGCGAATGTCAGCTCACTTGGAGAACATCTGCCAAAGGCGATTCCCTCGAAAGCATCACGATCTTTCATTGTCAGATCGTCGAGCCATCGAAAAGTGTTAGGAGCTTTCTCGAGAATACCTACGATTGATGTGGTTCTACCTATTCCACTGGAAATAATAATTTCTCTGAAGTTTCCCTCTATATATCTCTCACCCTCTTTCTCTCACCCTCTCTTTCTCTCTCTCTCTCTCTCTCTCTCTCTCTCTCTCTCTCTGTCTCTCTCTTCCTAACATTTCAAATGCGAATGGTGTTAGATATGTCACACTTGACGAATGTATTTTCGATGGAATACAGAAGAAGATTGTACGAATACGAAAAACTACCGATGAATTAATGATCCGTTAAAGAGAATAATATCTTCCGTTTTGGGGGAAAGAAAAAATTGAAGGAAAAAAATCTATTTAAATAAAATAAGAAGAATGAAAAATAAAAGAAGAGAGAGAGAGAGAGAGATAGAGAGAGAGTTTCTAATAAATTGTATATTAAAATAATAAAATAATCAGATATATAAAAATATTAAATTAACCAGAGAAAAATAATACACGAAGCATATCTGAATAATGATAATAGAAATTAAATTTTTTTGCTCGTTTT